GCGAAAACATCACCAGGCTCGAGCTTCACAATATCAGCAGAGAACAAACCATTCACACTTTGTTGTTCTACACTCTTCGCTTCAAAGTCTAGCCGTCCTTGAGGTTTAACAATGAGAAATCCAGGCTGGCTTCTGAAGAGCTTTTTCGCTGCTGCTGCTTCTATCTTCAAGGATTTCGTGATGAATTCTGTTGAGAATCCGGTGAAGATCCCGGCGCTTCCGGTCAAGAAGAAGTAGGTGAACTCGCCGGGGTTGAGAGCGGAAGAGGTGTCGCCGAGGAAGATGATGGTGAGGTCGGATTCGCTGTCATTGTACCACCATGAAACATGGCCGACGGGTACCTGAACGAAATCGCCTGATTGGAGTCTGACTACCTTCTCCTTCGGATTCTGGGGGTGTACCAGTCCGGCAACACCTTTGCCTATAAGTGATTCATACCCATGCCATTCAATAGAATCTCCTTACTCTCAGCTTAAAAATAGTCTTTAATCATATGATTACTATATATAGGTTCATTGCGGGCATCTTTTAGCAGTAGTATGGAGGACCAGTAGCTTACTATCCCAAAACTCTTTATTAGCACTCAAACCCTCCTCGTGAAGTATAGATACATGTTCAACAATTATATATATATATAGAGTAGAACTTGTGTCAACTTAGGTGGATAGTGAATAGTATGTCCACCAAACTTTATATCCACTCATTTAACATATAAAAAGTCACTTCATATCATGCAAGGATCCCTAGGAAACATCTAAGGGTTAAAAAGTTTAGTGGATGTCCACTTAAGTGGACACAAGTTTTGCTCTATATATATATATATATAAAGCTGAATTTTGACTTCTTTTTGTTCCTTTTTGAGGTCTTGAATAAATGCCTTTTTAGATGGACAGGTTAGAGTAGAAGAGGCACTCTTATTCTTTTTTATCATCTCAATGTACTTCTTTAACTGTACCCCTTTTTCTTGAGGATTAGTAATGGCATTAATGGTCTCAAGAACAAAATGTTCCTGTTCATCTAGGGTATTTAATTCAGAAGAACTATAAGATGTTATAGATGAATCTTCAGAACTATTTTTATTTTTAGAAGTGCAAAGATTGTTGCACTCATCATCAGAGGAAGAATTATCATCAATAAGATTTAAAGAATTAATAAGTTTTTCGATTTCTTCTTCAGTAAATTCATCGGAGTTTAATATTAACTCGTTAATCTTCTTTTTCATATCCTTTCGAAAACATTTATTAGCATAATGTCCTTTTTGTTTACATTTATAACATGTAGGAGTCTTTGTAGTATTATTTTTCCTAAAATTTCTTTTAGGAGGTTTTCTTGGTATTTTTTCAGTTTTATTAGTATTTTGTGTTTTTTGATAATTAGTTTTTGTTTTACGATAGTTCTTAGGAATATTTTTTATCCTAGGATTGTCCATTTGAAAACCAAATTGGTAACAAAAATCTCCCAATTCTCTTTTACCTAAAAGGTTTTGATTTTTTAATTGATTCTTAATTTTATTGTCGTTGCAAAGTTGTAAACCAATAGTGTTGACTTTTTGGATTAATTCTCCGAAGGGAATTTGATCATAGAGAATGATGCCCTTACATTGTTCTTTAAGAGAAGTTCTAACCTTTTCGGCAAATAAAGGTGGAAGGCCAGAAATAAACTTTTCTTTCCAAATGGGATTATTACAGTCATGTAGTTGGTAAATTTTTGACAAAAACACATCTTTGTACCATTTCAAGTCCGTAAGGCTTGTGGGGATTACTGTGTAGACGGAGGAGAGGATATATCTATTGTTTATAGCTATATCTTCTTCTTCGTTCACATGTATATCAAAAATAAAAGAAGAAAATATAGAAATGAATAGTAAAAATGAACAGTAAAAACGTGAACATTAATGAACAGTAACATAGGCGGAAATGAACAGTAACAGAAGCAAACTGGATAGTATTTACATAAGAGATTTACAAACTAGAAAGAAATCAAACTTAAAAACTTACAAACCGAGAGCTGAGAGATCCACTGGAACTAGTAGTAGTAGAGCACACGTATCTTACAAACACTCAAAAGAAAGATTAAAAGCAAATCTCACACAAACTCAAACTTAAAACTAAAAATTAAAAAGAAGAAACTGGAGGGATTCCACCAGAGAGGATAAGACATATAACTCCTATTGGTTTTTTGTTTTTAAGGAAATCTTTTCCATAGGTCGAACAAGAGGAAGCTGAGGCACGTTTTTCTTCATTAGCTTCAAGAGTAATTTTTCTGAATGAAGAAAAGTTAACCTCGACATCACCATTTGGGTGTTCAACAATTTTTTGAAGATTAGAATTTTCAGGGGGTAAAGGTTCAATGACTTGACTTAGTTTCCAAACTGAAGGAAGTTGAATTTCATTCCATTTTAAAGTTCGTGGTACAACTAGATTATTTTTAGCATGGGTAAGAAATAATGTAGTTGCTCCTTTTTCAGGATTAACCTTAGCTAAAGGTGTGAGAGTATTCATGGCTTTATAGCAGATCCTATAGGTTAAAGCAATATTCTCGGAATTTATATCCATATTAAATCCAGAGGTTTGAAGATTTAAAGTTAACACTTTGAGGATACCAGGGTCAGATAAAGAGACTAAAAAATTTGGAAAGGCATTGAAGAATATAGGACCATTGCTCAGACTTGATTCAATTAGACCAATTAAAGAGTCTGTAAAAACAGAGAACCTTCCGTCTCGTAAGCAAACAAGAACAGAGGTGTTAATGCCTTTTCTGTTAAGGGGTCTGATAGATACTTGAACTAGGCCAAGATGAAGGAATTTAAGAGTGAGATCTACAGTGATTCTTCGGATGTCGTTATCACTAAGTAATTGTAATTTCTCTGTGTGAGAAGTTACAGTTTTTGTTTTTTCAATGGTTTTAACATGATATGATGCTTTTAGTTTAAAACCTTCCTTACAGTAAATATCATTAGTACTAACTTTAGGCATTTTCCAATTTTGAATAGTTTGATTAATATTTTCGTAATCTAAAGATTCCGAGTTTTTAACAGACATAGTTCTAACAAAAACATTCTTTTTATCAGGAGAGAGATAGCTTAGAAGCTTAGGCATTTTAATAAAGACTTTAAAACCCAACCTGTCAACAGCAAGGGATGAACACGGACAGAAAGGCCCTAGACGCAAACAAAGCTTAACGGGCAAAACCGTGTGAACTGCGACAACTAGTTAAGGATAAAAAGACTTTAAGCAGATAGCAAAAGAGCAAGCTAAAAGTTAAGCATAAGAAGGACTCTAAAAAAGTTCGCAATGTCCCTACCAGTCAACAACACCGGATGAACACAGAACAAAGCTGTGTAAGTTGCGACGAAGGCAAGTAAAAAGAGAACAAAGAAAAAGGACTAGAAAATGCTAGAGATTCTAGATAATACTAGAAAGAGATAGAGAATTAAAATTCAATTCAAAGAAAGCAATAAAACCAAAGTAGTGCTTATGATTAAAGCGATAAGGCTGAATAATAAAATGCTTAGAATTAAAGCTAGGAAATAAAAGCAATCAAGCATGCAATATTTGTAGTAGTTTTTTACTATAAATTTCTACAATTGTTTTATTGTAGAATAAACACAAGAGTCAAAAAGTGAGTTGTTTCTCACGGGGATATACACCGGCTGACGGGGTCTACTGGTTCACCACCACAGACCGACTCCTCCACCGGGTAACTTGGCTCTGATACCAACCGTGACCATGACTTGTTTAGCCTTGATACGATAGAGCTAGCTTGTGGGGATTACTGTGTAGACGGAGGAGAGGATATATCTATAATCTCACACAAACTCAAACTTAAAACTAAAAATTAAAAAGAAGAAACTGGAGGGATTCCACCAGAGAGGATAAGACTTCAACTCTCCAAAACGCCTCCCCGAATGCCTCAACTCCTTCTCCTTTTATAGACTTTTTTCTGGCACTATGCAAAAGATTCCTTTTTATTCTTTAAAGCTTCTTTAAAGCTTCTTTAAAGCTTGGAGACCCCCTCCGTCTTTAATTTTGTCAACACCTACGGGACGTAGAGTAGGCTAGCCTTTTTGACAAAAATGCAGCATCTTTCAGTATCCAAGGCAGAATAGTTTCTCTTCTTGTAGCCTTTTTGACCAAATTTCTTCTTCTTTAAGCAACCAAAGCTGATTGGTTATAAGTATGTAGGCCTGTATTTTAGCTGCAGTCTACTTTATTTAGTTGTGTAAGAAATTTATAAAAGTTAGACATTTTAAACTTTTTTAGAAAAGACAACATGTGATCGACTTAGTGTTTAAGCCGTTGATATTAATCAGTAGTTACCATGAGTTAATGGTATATGAATTTTACCATATGTTAATGGCGAATTTTACCATAAATTAATGGTATATCATAGGTCAATACCGTAACAATCGTCGCCATTGTTGTCAAAACCATCTTCACTATCTATGGGAGTATCTTCAGGCGCGGGCTCATCTTTTATTTTAACAGGCTCTGATACCAACCGTGGTAGGGATTTTATTTTCAGAAAAATCTTTTTCATATGGGAGGTTAACAACATGTTTTTTTCTAAACCAAAAAGCATGAGGGATCTCCGAACAAACTTCCTTTTCGAGTTTTTCTTGGAAAAGTTTTATTCTTTCAATAAATTTTTCTTCATTAATTTGTTTTTCAATCTTTTCTAATTTAATCTCATCAGAATTGACTGCATGTCTGCCAAATACGTTATCAATAAAGATGTTCAAAACTTAGCATCTAAACAAATATTTGCTAGATGGCAAGCTATCCTTACTGTGTTTGATTTTGATATAGAGTTTATTAAGGGTGATAATAATAATTTACCTGATTTCCTCTCCAGGGAATTTCTACAAGGATATGGCACTGTCAAAATATCATTACCAAAGGGTTCTCTCACATGAAAAAGAGAGATCTTCTTCTACTCCCTTAACACAAGACGATAAGGGAACATATTCTCAATTTTATCAGAAAACATTGGATAAACTTGTCATCCTCGAAAAGTCTGATCAGACTCTTTTACCGATTGATATGGCAACAAAATTCCTTCCCAAGGAATATTACTATATTCCGTCCATGTTTGGTAAAACTACCCTCTACTATGAGAAAATTCTTAAAGAAACAGAAAGTGCATTCGCTCATCATAGATACCGAGGTAAAGAATATAGTTACTCTCGGCTAAGAATATATCATATTATTCCATTAAATGAATGAAACTCATATGGAAATCCCAACGCTCCGCGAAAGTTTAAAGAAAAAACTCTAATTGGTCCCCAACAATACAATAACTGGGACTATCAAGCTGCTTGGGAACATGTTCTGTACATTCAAAATCATCTGGGAAAGCATTCATAGTGGATACGATTTATGAATCAAATGTGTCTACCAAATTGGTTTATTGAAACCTTCT